GTGACAAACGCAGCACAAACAAGAACCAAATATTCAGCAGTCCTACTGGATAACCAGATGCTTGGATGCCGGTGGTGTGTGTGTGTGCAACAGTGGAGGTGTCACATTTGTCAGTGCCATCACTCCACACCAGCACCTGTAGTCAGTGACAGAGGCATCTGTGACAGATGGGATCAACCGCTGCAATAACAACATCGACATCACAGAGAGCAAAGTCCCAGCAGTGTCAGAGGAGTTTTAACACCATGAGCGTAGGCCCGCCGTGACTCCAGGAGGAGACATAATGACACACGACACGACATCGACCGAGATGTTTCTCTTATGTGCGATTTTCACACAAAAACCAAAACCTGGAGCAGAGACACTTTTATTTGTTGCGTGACTCTCCAGAGCAAAGGATGAATCAGCAAATTTGCAGCAGAATTCCAAGGCTTTTGATTGGCTGTTGGTTCAGACCAGTGGTTCTCAAACTTGTTCTACTCTGTACCACCTGAGAAAACCTTGATCTCTCTGAGTACCACCATGATGACCAACATTAGAATTCCCTCGCTCGTTCCATGTTCAACAAGTTGAGTCCCATGATTCTGTGCTGCCTGTGCTGACTTGAGCAACAGACTTGCATTGCAGCAAAAAACAAGTGAATAAATAAAAAGACCAGATATCCTATTTCATAATCTCACATTTTTTTCTAAATGTTGTATTAATTGTGCATGGCATGTTTCAGATTTATTCAATTTAAAATCATCTATCTGTCCAACACCAGCGATTCATCCATCCATCAACCATACTTCCATCCTTCCATCCTTCCATCCTTACATCTGTCCAAACATCAACAATCCTACCATCTGGTGGATAGACAGATTGTCGGATGGATGGATGATGGATGATCCATCCATCCAACAATCTGTTTATGCATCCTTTCATCCATCCATCCTTGTGTCCATCCATATAACAAGACAACAAATTAATTTGCCAAAAACAAAACGTAAATTAAACAAATGTTAAACTGCTTGTTGTTGTTGTTGTTGTTATTGGAGCAGGGAGAACTAAGCTGGCCTGATTCAACATTCAATAAAACCCTTCCTATTTCACATCACTACAATCATGTGCATCACACACGGATGGAGACATGGTCACAGATTCAATCTCCTTTTCAGCGAGTTACTGCATTCCTTTCACTGCATTCTTACTTGACAACAGGCATTCCTCAGTAAATACAGACATCATTTTCACAGACAGCTGATTTTGAACCAAGGTAACAGACCTGGC